GGGCGGTCCCCTCCTCTGTCCCCTCCCGCCCTGCGGGGCCAGGCACCCTCTGCGCCCTGCTCTGCCCCAGGATCCCTGGGGGTGCCAAGTGGCACCAGCACATGAGGGTGGTGGGAGCGCTTTGCAAGCCCTGCTGGACCATGCCCATGGGACCCCCAGCTGCTCCAGGCTGTGGTGCTGGGCTGTGCATAGCCAGCGCCGCAGGCAGGGGAGACAGGCTGCGGGATGGAGTCTGGATTCGGGGTTGGGTGTAGTTACAGGGCTGGGGAAAAGCATCCTGGTGGGGGGCAACCTGCAGGGCCCCCAAAGGCTCCCGAGGGGCAGAGCTCTGGGGCTCTGCGCAGGGGTGCGTGGGTCCTTGCTGTGCAGGGGTCTCACGCTCTGACCCTCCCAGGGTTTGGTCCCACTGAGTCCCTGGGAGGTCACGGTGCCTTGTGGTTCCCCGAGGGGCGGCCTGGGGCAGCAGTGCGGGGCTGAGCCGCGCGAGCATGTGCATGCGTGTGTGCGTGCCCAGATCACCCGGCAGCAGTACCAGAACGCGCTGGCAGCCAGCCGCATGGACAGCTCGCCCCAGTCCCCGGACATGGAGGCCTTCAACGACAGGGATTCGACCAAGGCCTCGACCGCTCGGGGAACTCCCCAGACGCCCAAAGAGGACACCACCACTCTCCTGAATGAGAGGAACAGCATTATGTGTGAGTGATCCCGTGGCCTCCCAAGAGCATCCCTGCCCTGCCCTGTACCAATGTGGCATGTCACCTGGGGAGGCTGTGCTGCGACCCGCTGGCATGGGGTGGCACCCCACTACCGATGCACAGTCACACATGGCCCAGGACACTCTGACACCTGCACACACAATGTATGCACTGTAATGTGCCTGCACATGCCAGCAAGCATGCAGATATGTAATGCCCTATGCACGTGCAAATGTGGCCATCCCTTGCCCCGGAGCCCTGCCAACGTGACACGCGCCGCGCCACTGAGGCCTGCCCCAAGGCACACCAGTCCCCCTGCCCTGCAGCGCACCTGCACTGTGTCTCTGCAGGCAGCCGGGCCGACGGGCTGCGCAGCCCCAGCGAGTCCGTGTTCTTGCGCATGGAGGGGATCCCCTTCATCCAGGAGGAGCTGGCTGACAACGAGGAGAACAGCAAGCAGCAGAGTGAGTCCTGGGCCAGGGCGGGGGTGAGACGCAGGGTGGGCAGCGAGCACAGGCAGAGAGCTGCGGTGCCCTGGGATGCTGCCCTGGACTGCTGCAGCCACAATGGACTTTTGCAGACAATGAGTGCTGCAGCACTGCCCTGGACGTGGAGTCCCCGGGCAGAGAGGCTGGGGCCAGCTCATCTCCAAGCAGCTCTGAGGAGACACTGGGCAAGAGGCTGCTGAGATCACTGAGTAAGTAACGGACTCTGGGGAGTGAGCACCCTTCTCTCCTGTGCCCATTGTCTCAGCTGCTACATGCTGCTCTGCCGCAGCCCAACACCTTTCTGCCCCTACCACAGCCCCATCCTAGGCACCACCGGTACAGGGGTGGCTTGGAGGAAGAGGGACAGCCAAGGTCCCCAGTGGTCCCTTCCCTGTTAGCAACAGACAGGACTGCACCTGGGGCTAGCTCAAGGAGATATGGCTTGCGGGCTGGTTCTGGCCCAACCCTGCACGTGCCTTGACTCAGCACCCCCACCTCACCCTCACTTGCTGCTTGCAGGTGGGCGCAAGCAGCGGCAGTCACCAGAGGGTGAACAGACACCAGAGGAGAGCTCCAATCTCACCCCGTTAATCACCTGAGCAGCAGTGTGGCCAGAGCACAGTGCTGGAGGCCCACGCAGACTGGAGGTAGGACCATACCTGTCAGTGAAGCATCCCTCCCCCAGCAAATGGGAATTTGCTCACTTTTAAGAGCATGAAATTAAGTTTCTGTCTTTCAAGCTGCAAAGCCAAAGGATGTGGCTTGGAAGCCTGCGGAGAGACCCACACTGGGTCAGCAAGAGCAGTCCTGTGCACACACACATGTAGCTAGGGGTTGGAGCAGGGTCCAAGAGATGCAGGAATGGAGTCTAATCATCTTTCGGCTAGGAATGGGGGTAGGAGAGCAAGTGTACTTCCAGAGATATGAATACGTGTCTGCACCAAAATCCCACAGTTTGGCTAGGAAAGGCACTGCAAGTCTGGGCAATGGTTGGCCAGGGAGAACAGGCTCTGGCCAGCAGGCCAGGGGCCCACCTGCACCAGGCTGTGCTTGTGTCTTCCAGGTCTGCAGCATGGGGGGGTCTCCTGCCGTGAGTCTCATGTTCAACAGCAGCAGGTCTGCACTCGCTCGCTGCCCGCCTGCCCGCTCATGCCGCCCCTCCCTGCAGGACTTGCGCAGAGCCCCGTCCCCAGGCAGGAAAGGATGTGGCCCCTGGGGGGCTGAGCCACCCAGGCTGCTGGACCAGCTAGCTGGAGTCTGAGGACCCTTGCCCAGCTGCTCCCTGGCAGCATCTGGTCTCAAGGAAGACGTGGAGAAAGGAAAGGTGGATAAGTGTCTGGCACGGTGTCCCTGCGGGCAGAGCAGGGAGGGGCAGCCCAACCCAGAACTGCCCTTAGCATCATTTACCATCCCCATCCCAGCGAGGCCTGGAGCCCCGCAGCGCAGCAGTGCTAGGTGCTGCACACACGTGGTCTCCACTGTAGGGAGCACATGCTGTTCAGGGGTGCCACATGCAACTCAGGGCCCCAGTACATGTTTGTGCTGTGCCTAGTGACATGCACAGTTGCAGCGCCTTGCGCACCCTGACCATTGACACAGCTCAGCACTCCCCAACCCCTGCAAGCCACAGGGAAGGGAGCCCAACTCCCTGATGAGTGCTCCCTTCCCTTTCTGGGGAGGGCCACTCCACGCTGCATTTAAATCATCCTCCTCTCCGCACATGGCTACCTGTGCAAGGGAGGCTTCCGCTGAGCCTTCAAGGTGGTACAGACCAGTCACTAGTTTTCGCGGAGGCTGAAGGCAATGGGGATACTAACAATAAAAGTGATCTCTTGCTGAGTAATGCCCTGTCTGTGTCAATGGCTGCATGGAAAGATATGTTAACATCTACCCCCAGGTTAAACTTACCTCTCACACCTGTGGCCAAGATGACTGGAATAACCCCGATACCCCAGAGCTGTAGCTGCTGCTCCACATGCGCAGCTCCCAGCAGAGCCAGAGGATGCAATGGTAACACAAGGAGACAGCCTCTGGCTCAGGCCTCAGTACTCAGCCCACGCTCTGTCTCCAACCTGGCTCTAAACATACATGGGGACTGTTGGGAGAGGGGGCTGGAGGGCTTCCCAAGAGTAGCACACTCACTGCACTGAAGCAGCACGTTTACTTGGGATGCAGTCTTTTTCCACTGCTGTCTGCACAGGCATGCAGACCTGCAACCCATTGTGTTTTGGGCTGTCTTCTCACTGCAGCTGTCTCAGGGCAGAGGAGGCACAGCAGTGCCACAGGGACCTTCACTCACCTTTGCTGAGGGTGCAAAGGGGCCCAGGGCCTCAGCCCCGCTGTCCCCCTCTGTCTTAGGGCTAGCAGAGCCAAAGCAAGCAGGTGAAGGCCCAGGTCAGTGAGCGCTTCCCAGTTTCTCACTGTACTCTGAACCTGGACTCCTGGGCAAGGAGGTAGAAGGCTTTCATTCAATGTTGCTCCAGGAAAGCCCTCAGCACTGCAGAGGCTTAAGAGTAGAGCTGCAGACAAGGACTAGGGAGGGAGAACAGGAGTTCATATTATCACACTGTTGCAAACACAATACTGGGATACATAGGCTGGACTACAGCCTGATAGATAACAGAAATCTTATGGTCCACCAATGCCGATAAAACTTCAGCTGGAATAACTGCATCCTTGTCTGGGCACTGCCCTTCTAAGGAAGCACAGAGCAGTTGAAAAGAGGCCAGAGGAAAGCAAGGGCTAGAAAACAACCTACTCAAGAAGGCTGGAGGAAACAGGGTCATTTAATCTTAACTGGTGAAGGATGTGAAGGGGAGAGAGGAAGTTTTCAAATACATAAAAAGCTGTTGCAAAGAGGAAGAGAATAATCTGTTCTCTGTTGCCATAGTAAATGGGATAATGGGTAATGAGCTTACACCACAGCAAGGGAGAAATTTAGGTCACTCATTAGGAAAAACAAGCATGGTAAGGCTACCAAAGCACTGTAAAGATCACAAGGGGGGTGGGCCAGCTCCATTCCTGGAGATCTGCAAGGACAGAAGCGCAGCCAATTTCAGAAAGGAACTAGTTTTACTTATGTCATTTAACTCCCTCATCTGAGACCACTCCTAAAAGTCATTCTTTAACTACTGTCCCATCATTCCAACCGTGGATGGACACCAAAAGGAGGAAAAGACCTCCCACCACCTCTCTGTCTGCACAGAGGGAAGGCTGCCTCCGTCCCACTTGTGTCTTGCATGGCACGAACACTAATCCGGAAAGGACAGAGACACATCATGGTGCATGAGTCAAATAGGAGTCCATGCACTTGTACGGACAAGGGAAGCAATACTAGAAGTTAGGCAGTTTCCTGAAAGACACAAGATACCTGCTCCATTTCCAATACCGCAGATTGGAGACCCCCCTGCACTGTGTCCCTGCAAGTACAGCAAGTGAACAAGACACTGGTTTCTCATTTGCAGGCTAAGCTGTAGCATAAGCAAAACATCAGGGTGGCAGTGACTATCCCTAAGTGATCTGAAGAAGGGGACTGTTTCCCTTTCCTCATCTTGGCAGGAGGCTTCTGTATCAAGGTGGCAGTACCAGCTCTCTACCGACTGCAGAGAGCAGGACCAGATGGTCCTAACTCTTTTTCAGTGCCAGAAACTCAAGACTGCTGCTGGCAGAACCCACTGAACCTAGAGAGTATAGGTGGGGATTCACCAGGGACCTGCTGAGAAGGGAAAACAGGAAAGATCTGCTTTTCAACAGATGAGCAGCAGGCCAGGAGCTCTGAGCCAGGGAGAAGATGGCCAGATGGCTAGGCAACATGACCATCTAGAGAGCAAACTCATACAGACTGAAAGGATACAGACAGCACAGGGTAGGGGCAGAAAGAGGAACATAAGACTGACATGGGAGGAATTGGTCAACTTCAAGTAGAGCCACAGGGAGCTCAAAACTGTGCTCTCCTAATAGAGCTGTGCCCCATTAGTAATAGTTGTGATTGTCAGAGATGCAACACAAAGCAAAGGAGAAAGGGAAAGCCTTGAAACACAAATTGGGTGAGAGCCAGCAGACAAGCCAGGATGCCAAGGCTTTAACCTGGGCTTCAGAAAAGGCTACCACAGTCTGGAGCAGCAAGGAGCAGAGAAAAGAGGAGTCACCTTCAGGCCTCAAAGTAGTAAGTGGTAGAGCTCCACGGCACAGGCCCCTCCTCAGGCAGTAGCCTACCAGCACAAGGCAACAGCAACATTGGGCAGACATCACAAAAGGCAGGGGTAGTGCTCAGAGATGGAGGTTTAATTTTCTGTCAGCAACACAAAGAAGCAGTTACCACAATTACAAATGTTTGCTCGCATAAGGCTCAAAACTGGATGGGGGAAAGTCAGCACTCCCTGAAATACTACCAAGTGACACCAGTCCACAGAGCTGGTGAGAGCCCAACCATTTGGGCCATTATCCCATAACATACTGCACTGCCACAGGACTCAGCCTGGACCAAACTGATCAGTTACATGGGGTTAATTTGGATGTGCTACAAATGCAGTTCTAAGCGCCCAAAGACCAGGCTGCTGTCAGTCAAACAAGAGCCAAGAAAGCTCGCGCTGCCCCCACCTCCCGGGGGAACTGGCTTGTCATATTGCAAAGGGTCTTTCAGATAGGCCAAAAGATGATTATCCCTGATTGAGCTGCTGCTCCCATCTTTATTAAACCCCAAGAGGTGTGGACAGGGCAAGTGACGAGCAGGCAAAGACACAGACTACACACTATAGCTTTGGTGACTTCATATAAGTTTGGTTGTTCATGGGCTTCATTGGATCTTTGTGACGGCTTCATGGATGGACTTGGCCACATAGTCCAGGTTCTTGGTAGTCAGGCCGCACATGTTGATGCGCCCACTGGCCATCAGGTAGATGTGTTTCTCCTTGATCATGTACTCCACCTGTTTAGCTGGGGAAGCAATTTGACTTCAGGTCAGACTGGTGACCCCACAGCTCAGAAAAGCCCAAAGAAGCAGTCAGGGTTGCTGGAATCTTTCACAACAAGGAGAAAGCTTCCAGGGTTAGCCTCTGAAACGCAGTCTGATGCTTTGTCCCTGCCTACCCACAGTGGCAGTGATGAAGAGGACTAGGTAGAAGCTCAGCAAGCCACGAGCTTAAAACATTTTCCTGCTAACTGTGGTAGTAACACCAGGATCCCAGTGAGGTCCCCCAGAGATACCCGCCTAGACTTCTTCAGCCCATTTCTCTCCCAGCACAGCTTTCCTCATCCAGTCCTCCCTTCCCTTCCCAAGGCAGGGCCAGACAACTTCGTACTTACGGTTGAGCCCTGTGAAGCTAAACATGCCGATCTGCTCTGTGATGTGGTTCCAGGTGCCTGGGGTCCCAAGGGACTCCAGGCGAGACCGGAGCTCTGACCGCATCAGCAAGACCCGATCTGCCATAGTCTTCACATTGTCCTTCCTGCAGCAGGCAGGAAGCCATGAGTGAGGACAACCTGTCTGCATTGGAGCTCTCTAGCCAAGCTTGACACTCAGAGATAGCTTCCCCTTCCCCTCTCCTGGTGGCCCTGGAAATGCTTACCACTCAGCAAAGAGCTGTGGGGAAGTAAGTGTAGTTGCCACAATGCGCGCTCCTTGGGAGGGAGGGTTGGACCAAGTGGTGCGCACGATCTTCTCCATCTGGGAAAGCACACGCTGCACATTGTCTGCATCCTTCCCCACGACAGTCAGATTCCCCACACGCTCATCTGTGGACAAACCAAGACGCATGAGCCATTGGCCCCATACATCACTGCAAAGCAGAGCACTCCCCTCCCCCCAGCATGCCAGCCCCATCCGTCTGGGTATGATGCTGCTGGGCCAGCTTGCTGACGGACACTCACTGTAGAGCCCAAAGTTCTTGGAAAACGACTGTGCACAGAAGAGCTCAAAGCCCTCGGAGACAAAGTATCGCACAGCCCAGGCATCCTTGTCCAGGCTGCCAGAGGCAAAACCTTGATACGCCGAATCGAAGAATGGAAACAGGAACCGGCGCTGTAAGGAGGAACAGTGTTAGAGGGAAACCCCTTCCCCATGACCTTCTCTTTACCCCTTCCGCCCTCCCCATTGGAGGGAAAACACCACTGAGCTTCTAAGTGAATTGCAGGGTGTGTGACCCAACAAG